TTTGCTTTGCTTTATGCTGAAAACATTTACTTTTGGATTGATTCCAAAACTGACGCGCATCCAAAAATGCTATTAAACTCTTTTGAAATGCAGGTCTCAACACAAAATGCGAGACAGGATTTTCTTCCAACTACATGTCAGCAGAATCTTAAAGTAACTTGGATTTTTTGCATGGGAACTTTGAATGTTACTTTTCCTTTGTATACTTTTTGGGTAGGAAGTGGTACCTCAAAGGCCCTGAATAGATATGTGCCCTGTAGGATGGTCAGACTGTCTCCTTGATTAGTCCTATGGAACTCTGTCAGTGGTGGCTGGACATAACTGGCCACTGGCAGAATTCGAACCTAGCAGGTATGTGGTGGGACCATTATCTTGCAAAGTTCTAGCTTAAGGTCTGTGAGAACATGTGTATGGGAGGAAGAGGCTACTGTCAGTACCAGGAGGGCTATGCCTGTTCTTTTATGAAAATGCCGTGCCCTTGCTATCTTTCATCTGGAGAGGAAGAGAAATTAACAAGAGGCCTTTATGATGAGAGCTCAGGAGAACAATGGTGCTGCAAGAGCACATTCACAGGGGCAAAAGGGAGCTTCCAGCTGCACCCACACTGTAAGGCCTGTCTGAATGTCCCAATCACATACACGCTTACCTGCTGCCTCCGTGCTGCACGTTGCCTTAGGCTGTTGTTGAACAAACAGCAGGTAGTTTCCTCCTTAGAGCACTTTACACCAGCTACCGCCAGATTCCTCCCTTAGGAGAGGCACAGTGTCCTGCCAGCTGGGTTAGTTCTTGGCCAAAGCGCCGTCCTGACAGAAACACCTACTGAGAACGGGAAGGTTCTCTCCCAGCTCTGACATTACTGGTGTTACTGGCTCTACCGAGAGTAGATGGCAAACTAAATGTTCATGAGTTCCAAAATTTTTCAAGTGTTTCCTTCCCTTTTAGTTCTGGCACAGTATTGTTGATAGCACCCAACAGGCCAGATTATTTAACTACTGGCAATGTGGCGTAGCAAATAAGTGACATGCTTTTCCTTACTGCAAATCACAAAAGGTAATGGCAGAACTCAAACAAAACCAAATTACCTCAGTAACTCCTAGAAGACTCAAGTGGTTAATCAGTTACCTTTTATTTACATATATATGCTAAATGCTGAATTAAGCTGTAAAAACCAAAGGCTGATTTATAGCCCCAGTCAGCCTTAATTAACATTGATTCCAGGGGAACAGTAAATGTGAATAGCCTTCACAATTGAGGTTGAACAATGAACTCACTGGGTGTTGTCTAATTTGTAGCATGATTTACATGCACGCAAGCCCTTCTTTTTTCTAGGGTTACCCCTTTTTCATCTGGTGTGTAGGATGGGTTATATATAATCCATAGATAGTAACATTTGCTGTCAAATATTCTCCCTGATTTAGAGTTAGCCTTTACCACGGTCACTATAAATAAGGCAGAAAAAAACCCAGTCTGAGACTTTGCAGGGATTCCTTGTTCTTGCAATGTGTCATCGCTTGTCCATTTCATGGCAATTTTACGAAGTGGCCATAATGAAAGTCAGATTAAATGTACAGGATATATATGTTTAATCAACAGCCATCGGAGTCAGTAGTGCTGGAAGAGTTATAAAAGCCCCTGTGAATGCAAATTTATTGCAAAAGAATCTGCATCTTGGTGGTAGGGAATATCTGCTGAATGGTACTACCTGACACAGAACACCTAAAACTTTCAAAAGTGAATTATTTCAGTGTAAGGTTTTGCTTGTAAAGCCGCCAGCTGCTGGATTTCAAGACTTGAAATGGTTCCAAAACATTGGACTAGGTACTTTATTTGTGCACTAGAGTAAATACTCTGATTTTACTGCCAATTTAAGTGTGCTCAGTTTACAGTAATGAACTTGTATAGGCAATACCTTGTTTATAGAAAGTGGAACAGGAAGAAACTAACATTAACCATTAACAGTAGCAATTTCTCTTGCCTTCAACTCTAACTTTATTCCAAATAGATCCTTCGCATCCCCTATCTGAAGTATCTGCTATTACTGTTCTTCTTCTAAATCTGTGGGATAAATGGAGCACTCAGTCAGACAATACACCTTTATAGTTCCAGCCAACTTGAATTGCAACACTCTTTGGTAATTCCAGGGCACAATTTCTTATTCCTACAGTGAAATGTATTTTGAGAACAAATATGTGTCTTGTGTGCACACAAATGTAATAAGTGTTCGTCCCAGCAAAATGCAGTTATTTAAAAAAATAAAAAAGAACAGACTACTTTTATATGGGAAGAATATTTAATTGCAGTTGCCACCACTTGTCAGGTTCTTGTACTCAACCTAACTGTTTTACTCTTTCAAGACAGATCACACAGGAACCTATGTATTTATGTACGTATGTAACCTTAAACAAACATCCCTACATCTCCTTTGGCCATCTGTTCCTGAAGCTGCAAGCTTTTGTCCCTTCCCCTCGGCACGCCCCCATGCACTCGGGGCATGGAGTTAACTCACCAAACTCGGTGGAAGAATTCGCAAAATTCTTCTTCCACACAGGTGACACAAATCTCAGTTTCCTTGTTTCACATGCAGTCTAAAACGCGACAGCAATCCACTGGAGGATTTCCGCTGATGGCATTAGTCACTGACATGATACTGCTGCTTCTTTCATTACCTTACCTGGCTGGGTTACTTCCAAAAATGTCCTACTGGGGACCAGGACTTCCATTTGCAAAACAGCGCAATTACTGAGCAGGAAGACACCACCCACAGTCTGAGGAGTTCACAGTCCAAGAATATGGACGGGTTTAAGATAAATATGGTGTGCAGAGAAGGCGGCAGCTGTGTAATGGCGCGATAGGCCCTGGGTTCAGCTACCTCCGAACACCAAAACAAAAGGCAGAGAAAATAAAGGAGGTATGGGCTGAAATGGGTAGAAGGACACACAGCAAAGCGACTGAGGCTAGAAACACAGGGAACGTGAGGAAGCACAACAGAAACACATCTATAAAAGCAAGCGCGGATGCAGTTGTTGGGTTCTGTGCACAGCTGTGTTATCGGTCAGTCTTTTCCAGGCAGGCCCAAGCTCATTCTGCCCATCTCCGCAGCTAGCTGGCCACAAGTAGGCTATGAACCAGAATCTGTCATTGCATTTAGTGTGGTGTTGAGCCTGAGCTAATAAGCCCTGCTGAGAAGAACATAGCTACATGGCTTCCATTTGGCTTGGAGAATTGGTTGAGCAAACTCACCTCTGGTAATGCAAAACTCTACACGTGCAAATATGAGTGTGCAATTTCTTTACTTTCTTTAAAATGCAGAGGTGCATCAGTGTCCTCCCTCTGTTCTTTTTAACAGACACTTGAACCCTTTGGTGTTGAAACTGTTCCTTTTGAGTTTTCTGACTGTTTTCTCTTGGCTGCTTTTCTTGCCTAGAGTAGCATTTTGTTTTGTTTTGTTTTTTCCCCAGCTCAATTTCTTCTCATCAATTTATGACTAGCTTTCTACTTGTTTCTTTTTTTTCCTTAGAGGTAAGTTAAGGCTTTGGTGAGCCTCTTTCTTTAAACACCCAGCATTTTGATGCTGATGCTTTTATTTGCTATCAGGCAAGTTGTAAACACTTAAGCCAGAGTAAGAGTCAAACTATTTAGCTGGCAGGCTGATGCAGCTATCCTCATTGCACCATTCCAAGCCTAAAAATTCGGAAGCTGCTCTATAATCCTATCACACTATTCTTTGACTAGAAAAGACGGGTATTACATTCCACTCATTTCCACATGAAAAATATGTAATGTTTTTTTTTCCCTGTTTTTTCCACATCAAACTTTGTTACAAAGAAAACAAACCCAAGTAGCCCTGATCTCAATAAAAAGATAGGTCAGTTTCCACCACCCGACTATTTCTGATTGGAACTGAATCTTTCAAAGGGTTCTTCATCTTTCTGCTCATCCACAGTTGCAGGATCTGTATGGGGCTTTGCTTTTGCTTTAACCAGAGAAAGGTCCCTATCTCTATAAGCAGGAATTAACCGCTCATGCAGAAAAGGATGGTGAACGTTCCTTCTGTCAAGGGGTGAACTCCTGCCTCCAGTGAAATCAGTGGTAAAATTTCCATTGATTTCAGTGACACTGGAACCTCCTCTTACACATAAAAACTCATATTTCATCGAATACAACGAAAGAACATTGATACCCAAACTCCAAGGAACTCATATGGTACTTGGACTTTATGAACACTTCATTCTTAGAAAGATTTCAAGGGCAGGAAGAGTCCGAACACCTGGAAGACGTTTCAGTCATTTTCCTAGAGTGACTTCTTTCACATTTGCTAATAAGTAACTGCATCCTGTTCTTGAAGGTCATTCAGTAGAAAATAACTGGCACATACGCAGCTACCAGTAAAATCCACTTTAAATAAAATCATTTGTCATTATCTCTCTAAAGACAGTTGTTGTCAGCACCATTAAAATTCAAATTTTGTTTGCCCATGACAATTAAAGTGATGTTAACACCGAGAGAATTTAACAATTTCCATTGTTCCAAGCAGATAAGTGTTAATTCTGTGCTGCAAGCCATCCCCGTAGTCATAATCAACTGACTGTGTATTGAAGAACTGATGTTTGAGATTATTCAGCCCTGACTGGTTTGTATCAGTGACTAAATGTTTACTTACTGAATTGAATAATTACTGCAAATCCTTGTCTCCAGTGATTTCAAGGCTTTTTCTCTAATACAGGTATTTCTTTTTTAGTTTATTTGTTAAGTTTTTAAACCAAATTTAAACGTCAACCAAGTTGCTGAAGAATTTTATGTTGCTTCTCTAGTGACACTGCCAGAGAACACAGATATCAGGGGCCGACCCTCAGCCTGAACTCTGGAAAACTAATTTTCACAGGCATATATAAGTTTCAGCTCTTTTGTATGAGAATGTGCAGTCTCTCACACGAGTTTGTTGTTACATACGTTACTACTGGTTCATGCAGGAGGACTGATGGTTTTTCTTCCTCTTCTAGATTTTCATCAATAATGAGTGGCAAAATTCTGAAAGTGGGAGAATATTCCCAGTACATAATCCTGCAACAGGAGAGCAGATCTGTGAGATCCAGGAAGCTGACAAGGTAATGAATCTGTGAATGGGCAGAAATATATAAACACATCAAAGCAACAGGTCCAGATTATCACTGCAGGACAGTTCTTTTATTAATCAAAGTTCTAAAACCCATCATGTGACTAGGGTGGTACAACAGCACATTTCCTAAGCCTGGTAATGTTAGTTATTTACTTCAGTGTCTCTGTTTTTTTTCTTCCTTCTTGATAGGTTGACACGGACAAAGCAGTGAGGGCAGCTCGCCTCGCTTTTTCTCTAGGTTCAGTTTGGAGGAGAATGGATGCATCAGAAAGAGGCCATCTTTTGGATAAGCTAGCAGACCTGGTCGAAAGAGACAGGGCAATTCTAGCTGTAAGTGGCGCATGAAAATGAACAGTCACATCACCTGCCAGTTTTACATTTGGAAAGCAAATGAATTAATAAATGCATTAATATGAATTATATTTGAAAACCGCACTTGTCTCGATGACTGAGAAGGCTGACTGCCTACTTAAGACCTGATCCAGAGCTCATAAAAGCCAACAAGTCTTCCAGCTGACCCAAGTGAGCTCTAAACTGTACATCAGACAGAGGAACGGGTGTGCGCACAGAGGCGTGCCGGTTGTGCACACTTGTCACTTCCCCGCGGCAGGCGAGGGAGGCGCGGGCGCAGCGCCTGGTGCCGGCACTGGCGCAGCGGCAG